TGAGCCATTCCTTGATATTTCTGGCCTTGATGTCAAGGACGGGCAATGCAGAGAAGTTAACCTGATGGATGCTCCATGTATGGAGCAGTCCTTTTGAGTTGATGACAGGAAACGGATTCAGCTTCATTCCATCCGGCATGAGTGATCTGGAGGTCGATACAATGACCTTTAAGGGGGAAGCGGAAGTTCAGACGCAGAACTTCAAGAATCAATGATAAATATGTACGTACCTCAATATATCGTGACTTCCGAGCGAGCCGCAGCCGATGCCCACTGCCCGCGACAGGGAAAGGATACACTATATCCTGGGTTTGGTCACCCAGTGCAACTCTCATGATACAAGGCGAGAGCTGCGTGATTTGCGGAACGACTTTACCGCCGGCTTCACTGAACAGCCGCGCAGAGTCCTCGTTGGTAACAGACACACGTGCAGTCAAAGACGTGATCAATTCACACTGCTCATCCAACTCGACAGACGCAGCCCCAGATTCGCCGATCTGAGACAATACACCTGGGTCTTTACGGGCTAATGATTCAGAGGGATATCTCGAGGGCAAGGGGTGTTCAGGGAGGACGTGAACAAGGGTCTTGTCCATCAATTTGGCGCTAAATACACGGAGAGTGAGACCCAGCGTCTTGATGAGGGTTGCACATGCAAGAGGCATATTGCGAACGCCGAAGCCGATGCTGAGCTGCTCTGGGGGCTCTGCACAAAGAAGCCAGGAAGGTGCAACGAAGGATGCAACAAGCGATGAGCTTCCTGCCCAACCACTCGTATCTTCTTCAAAAATAACATGTGGACGAGATTTCGTTCCCATGGGGATCGCTCGTCCAAATGCAACGTGTACGGCAGTGAATATGTTATGGTGGCGCACACCCAAAATGTCGCACTGCAGCGGTGGAGAGCCAATTTCCTCGGGCTTCGAGTTTTCTAGCACAGAAAGTTTCTCGCGGGGGACAACGAGAACAATGCGCACAAGACCAGGAACTGTGTCCCAATGCAAAAACCGTCCGATCTTCGGAGTCGGTATATGGAAGAACGGGGCCTTAAACACACTGTGCCGATGTAACTGCCCACAAAAATCTTGGTAGTGCAGCGTGTCCATTGACTCGATCGACCAAGCGGCGAGTTGGAGTGATATGAACCGCTCCATGATACGAGTCCATGAATCCTCAGAGGGCAGAAGCCTACGGCGGATGAGCTGCAGCAAGAGGACAAAGGATTCTCGACTGTAATGCGCAAAACTCGTGGCATTAATTGCTTTGGACACGTTCTTCTGATTGGCAGCCCAGAACGTCTTTGAGGTCTCTTGCTCGAAGAGGGACTGGTAGATGTCATAAAGCAAGGTCCCCAGCTGATGTTCATCAAACACAGGAGACGAGATATTAGCCGTCTGAGAGGCAATTGTATCTCTGGAAGTGGGAGCTTTCCAAGTCGTAACCTGTTGAAACTGCGATATATCTCTTTCTTGTTTCAACTGCCTGTGCATAATCAGCTCATGTGTGTTGGATCGACTGGAAAATCCACAGAGATAATCAACTGGAGATAAACCGATGAGAAGACCAATGACAGAGAGGTCAGCGTGGAGTTGCTCTGTAAATTCCTTCGTCGCGGAGTCCTGCCCAAGGAAAAGAAGTGATTCGGTATATAGGACACTGGATGGTTCACGCGAGAGGACAGGTAAAGATGTAACGAGGACGTTCAACAATCCAATGTGATCCTCCAGATTGGACGTGTGGATGACATTGAAGTTCACGGGAGCTCCACCGGGAGTAGATGTATAGTACTCATCTCCACTGAGCTGTATCAACTGCGTCTTCCACTGTGCCACGGGGATGCCCGGGTTAAGTATGCCCACATCACCAAACGCGCAAAGCGCACGGCAAACGGCGGTAGCTTCGCCGACGAACAAGCGGATGATGGGTGGAGAAGTAGAGGATAATGAGTCGAGATAAGAGGAACACCAACCCGCGAATTCTTGATTTGCCGCCTTCACGACTTCCGTCATGGATACTGCAGATTTCGCGTTGCCGAATAAAGCAGCAAGATGGAAGACGTTCAAGGGATCAGTTCCATAGTGGACCGAGCAACCTTCTCCGCCCAAAGAATAGACGAAGGTCGGGTTCAGTAATGTCGCAGCGGCAATTCTCTTTCCGTCCACAAATGTTACACCTGTCTTCCAATAGTTCCTGAAGTGTTCCGGAATGATCGTGAACCCGCGGAATCGAAGAGGTCCCAGGGAACGAGTAGCCGTGTTTGTGCCTTCCTTTGAATTCTTTTTGGATAGTCTATCAAACGCATCGCGTATGGGTGCGAGTCGCGAATTCGGTAACTCTTCCATGCCAACATATAACGTCCAATGACGTCTGAGTTCCTTCAGGGTGTAGTCGGTAGACATCTTGACGAATGACGCGTATGGGGAGACTTTCCATTTCTGGGCGGTCTCTGAGTGTTCAATTAGCTTCTTGCCTTGATCGATGAGGGCGGTATGTGAATCTTTGTCCAAGCGAAAATGAAAGAATATGTTCCAAATCGTGGCGTACGGTTGGCGATCAGCGATCATGGTCAATAACAGCACATTCCGGGCTACGAGGTAAGAGAATTAATCAGTGAATTGGTTGGTGAAAATTGCACGACGATAACCAGTCTACCTAACACGGCTGGATCGAAATCACAGCAAGTAAAGTCCAGAGCGCGGCCAGCTGTACGGGGAATGGAAGTTCAGTTCATCAACATATCTCAAATGACGCAATGAAAGTACGAACAGTTTCGAGGCTCGGTGAAAATTGTATGCAAAACGTTGCGTGGGTCACCACAACCCAAAAGTAAGATACGGGCAGGCTCTTCGAGGGTAAGATCTGCAGTTAAAGACACTGCGCTCGTATTTCCTATGGCGTAGAAGAAGTACTTGGATGGCCAGATAAGTAGATTAGCCATCGTCGACACAGAGAGATGAGCGCCTGTCGTAAGGAAGGTGTGTCAACATCGAACCACGCTTCGTTGGGTCAGGTGACCTTCGGGCGAGTTGGTTGTCCACAGCGCACCTACCACGTCCATTAGCTTCGGTCAATAGGTCAGTAAATATTCACTGCTGGAAGTTTGACTGGATTCCAGATATCTACGGATACAAGAATCACAGGTCATTTGGGGGCGGCGGCGGATGGGTGTTGCCAATGGAACCAGGGATTCTGAGTTCTTTCCGAAGCTATACAACGGAGAACGCCTTCAGAACCTTACGACCCAGCAAAAGAAATAGAAATTCTCACATCTCAAAGCAAAACCATGGGTAGGGATGAAAAGGCCACCGATGAAGAGAGCCTCCGCATGGGATAGTCATTGAGCGAGACTCATCACGCCTGACGCAGCATCGAGTAAGGAGCGCAAAAAGGAGGATCTGACAAAGGTTAGATACCGGCGGTAGATACAACATATGCCCGAGGCTCGACACAGTGCAGATAAATTCTCCCGTTGATCGTCGTATTCGCCTCCCCGCTCTGTGTCCTGCAAGCCCTCATCAAGATCGTCCTATCTAAAAACGAATCCAAAATAAACCAAACTTGCCTTAACCAGAATATACACCGAGTGCGTCTTCGGGTTCGAAGGCATCTTCGTGAGCGCCCATCCTACTAGAGTCTGTGTCCGAAAATGCTAAAGCGTCCACAATCGCGCCCTGGTGGTCTGCGGGTGGTAGAGATGATCGGTTTGAAGAGTCGTGTCTGGCTTCGCGCAAGCAGGCTATTGAGATGACGGCCTTCCATACAAACTTGTATTCACATGAGTCCTTTTCTGCACCTCGAAGATCAGCATTCTTCTTCGTGGAACGAAAATAAAACACACCTTCACCACAATCTGCCCCTTACCCCGGGGACGGGCACCATTTCCATCGTGATGCAGATTTCCAATGCTGGAGCGCAAGGTCCGAGGATCCGTCTCTGAAACCCGCCTCTTGAGTCCTAGCACAGCAGGAGCTTCTGGAACGCGGTATTGGATTGAGTCACTGCAGGAGTGAGGGGCGTGAAAGATGGGTGATGGCTGGGCTGAGGAAAACTGTGGTGCGGTTGGAGCTGCTGTGGTAGTTCATTTGTGCTTGCAGTGGCATTCTGTATTCGTGGCATTCTGTATTCGTGGCATCCTGTATTCAGATACATAAGGATACTGTTAGTTGACTGTTAGCCAAATTCGAAAATGCAACAGCGGAAGACGAGTTGTGATCCGAGTTGAATGTTTGGCGGAGGTCGTCGGGCCGGCTCGTCCCGCGCCTTTGTCATCTGAATTCATCCTCTTCACTCAAGTCGATATTTACTCGATCCTCACCTTCATATTTCAAAATGTTCTTTCCAAACCGCTTTTCAGCGCCGGCGCCTCATCTCCAAAATGCCATCTCGGCGGCCAAGCAATTCGGATCTCATGCACTGGCAAGCCTTACGAACGCATATCGATGGGAAACGAGAGAGCTGTGAGAACATGGGGTGTTCGCTCAATGAGGTGCACTTTAAGTATCATACATTCTACCATGTGGAGCCTATCCATAACTTGCCTCCCAGCTACCCGACGCTTTCTTCATTCCTTGTTCCCATCACTCTTGTTAAATTTTCCAACCACATAGTTAGTACAATGATCTATTCCTTTATTTCCTTCCTTCCTGCACATTCCTGCTGCTGTCCGATCTTGTTGCCATCCTCCCCTTTTCGAGACAGCTTTCGTTGACGGTCCGTTCTTTTTGCCTTTCCGTGGACTTCATAACATGACCTTTCGCTATTTATCTTCGACGGCCAGAGCCCTTTCCCTTCTCACAATCAAATGCCCGTTCATCCGACGCGGCTTGAGCGAGCTTGGTTGTAGAAGTCTCGATAATTTACCCAGAACCACGGTGGATAAGCAGAGCAGCGTCTAGTCAAGGTACGTATCTGGGTTTTGACGAAGGAAAGCAATTCACACTGTTGAATAGTATAAAACGCACCTGTCGATTCGGATCGGATTTTCTACACCCCCCTTCGTCATGTCCTCTACTCCAGTCATCCACTTGTGCGACGTGAAAAAGCGTGCTAGCGTCTTGAATGCATGGGAGAGGGTACGGAACAAACCCCAGGTGCACTGAGCGATGGAGTGTTTCGCTGAAGCTGTGAGTAATCGCCTCTATCATGATGCGAATCTGAAATGAGCTTCCACATATAGTTGGGCGTCTTTTTCTACGTGTACTTGGCACGTCGTCCGATATTCACGTGGCATACACTTATCGCATGGTGGAATAGGACTCGGATCTACCGCTGCTTGGGTTATTGGGAAGATCTTGAACCAGTCTGGGCTCTCCTGTACAATGCCTTACCGTTTTTCAACGACAATTGCGGGATTGACAGCTTGATTGACACAACTAGCTGTCTTTCAGATCGATCTTGCCTACGGATTTGGCGTTTTATTTTCCATCGGTGTCTGTGCAGGTACTTCTGGCGGACACTTAGCCCGTATGTCACCATCGCATTCATGGTATTCAGAGGCTTTCCACCCCTGAAAGCCGTCAAGTACTGGCTTGCATGCGCGGACTAAGTCGACCATTGACAATTTTTTAGATATATTATTGCGCAAATTCTTGGAGCTTACATTGCGTCCGCTTTTGTATACAATCAATGGAAGGTCTTTATCGTGGACCCGGAACTATTCTCGAAACAAGCTGGCATCTACGAAACAACGATGTTCACGCCCGATGGTCCGGCCAAAATCTTCTTCCTGGAGCGCAAACTTTGCCTCGCGCTTTTCTTAGTGAATCCGTTAATGTAAGAGGTCGTTACTAGTGGGCAAAAAAGATCGAAAGCTCACACTCATTCGGTCAGTGTTTTGTGCTCGCCTTGGTTATCTGGGCTGCTCTTGACCCTACATGACTCCACCCGTTTTGGTTCCTTTCATCATCGCTGCGGCATAGTAGGTGACTTGTTTGGCAGGAGGACGTTGGTTTGGGGTTATGCGGCTCCTACGAGTAAGTCATGGGTGGTAAAAATCATCCTAACGCTGACCTTTACATCCTCGCAGTTTCTTTGAATTCGGCCCGTGACGTTGGTGGCCGTTTGTTCGCATTGACCATCTGGGGAAAGTCAGGTAAGAACATCGTGCCCGTCCCGTCCAATGTGTCACTCTCAAAAGCGTTTCAGCTGCGGGAGGATCCTACTCGGCCATAGCGGCACTCGTAAACATTCCAGCCACTTTTCTCGCTGCGGTCGTCTATGAACTGTTCCTCGTGGATCCTGATCGGTGTTTGTCACGTTGATTCAATTATACGCTGCGATACTTACTTTTTTTTTCGCTTTCAGTCGTACCTGGCTCACATTTTGAGTTCATGAACGTCGTAGCAACCACCGAAGGCATCGTCATCAGGCCGAGGATGAAAACCATGTTGATGCTAATGACTCATCGCAAGAGAAACCTGTATGAGCAAGCTACTGGAAACAGTGATGCCCATAACGACTAACAGGCTTAATTAAACGCTTTTCTTTGCTGTAAACAATTTGTTTGCTGCCATGCGTTGAAAACTAATTTGGAGAATACTTACTTATTATTACTTTTGTGTTTAAACTTGGTAAAAACACGTTTAATGCACTGGCACGCGTCTGGCCTCGCGCACTTGCGAGACCTAAGCGTGTCCGTGAAATAATAAGCGCATGACCAGAAAATTGTAGTGGCGTCACGTACCAAGCACTGAGTATTGGATACTGAACCTTGACGTTGAACTTCAGGGGGTGGGAAAGCCAATATATTCGAACTGGTCGACGCGGTCAGCTGTTGACGCGACCTTATCTCGTCGGGTGGCGTCGAGCTAGGTGAGATGAACGTGCCAAAGGTCGGGTAAAGGTAGAGACAAGATAAAGTCGAGACATTGAAAATTGATGGTCTCAAAAGCCGAATCGATGACCTCCGGGGAACTCTCTAGCTGAAACTGGCTGGAGTGCTTTAGATTATGTAGATATGCGTGCCGTTACACCACTAGGTCGTTATCAGTAGCTGGAGAAGACGGGTTAAATTAGAGACCAGGTGAAATAGAGGCAAGCCGTTGAATTAAAAAATTCCGCCACTTAAACACTATGACCTATTCCTGAATCGAACAGGCTTTCTGTCTGAACCACGGTCCACAGTTATGGAAATTGTCCAGGTGTGTAAGTCGTTACACCGTTAGGCCGCTATGCATAGCTGGGGAAGGTAGGGTAAAGTCATGGTTGGGTATAGCCTTTGCCCAAAAAGGATTTTGTTGGAGTAGTTGTCTTATATATAGGCCTATTCCTGAATCGAACAGAATGTCTTTGGCTGAAGTTACAGATTCTTCAGAAATGCGAGCCGTTTACACCGCTAGGCCGTCGTCCATAGTTGACGAAGGTCGGGTAAAGTCGATCAGGGGTAGGATCTGCCCGTAAAATTGAAGGTTCTGCACCTTCGTGACGAATGATTGCGCAATGACCTAGTCCCGACTCGGAGCGTCGAACAGGATCTCTATGGGTGAAGGACCACGATATTCTCCAGATGGGTGCGGTAAGTCATGTGGCGTGCAAGTTACCTTTGTGTCTTACATATTAATAAGCAGAGAAAATGATTATTTGTCAGCGCTTAACAACTACCTTGCTCAGTGCAGAACTTATTCTTTCGTTCTCCCCTTGAAAGCTTGACAGGCAACAACGAACGCGTTTATGAAGCTCTCAAGTTCACATCTCCTAACACTCATCCCATGGTTCCTTGGCATCGCGTGAGTGGCTCGTCCGGCATAATATCTTCTCGTGGACCTGGAACCGATGGCGCCCAGCGCCCTTCATCTTCATCATCCACGACCTCGAAAGACCACCACCGACTCTCTTCTACGTCCACCCAAACCTCAGATATGGCAGGGAGCCGGCGCCGCTTCGTCCTGGAAGAGCATAACGCAGGCGCAGGGCGAGCTTGCTTAAAGTTGGGGGGAGCACGTTGAGCGGAAAAAAGTTCCTTGGGGATGCTGCTGTGAAACGCGATGGAGCGGGGGAACCACCCACCACCGACTATGGCGATTGATAGGTTGTTCTCGAGGAGCGCGCCGACGAAGGGATAGGCTGAAGAGGAGCTGTTGCTGCGAATCAGGTGTTTGAGAGGGAGAGGAAGGGAGGGTATCATGCTCGAGTGGTTGATCTGGATTGGCTTACGACGATGGATGGGAAATCCTCATGGGCAAGGTGGCATTTGGAAGGGAAGGTGCGGAATGTACTCGCTGGAGCTACTGTAAGTCTTTCTTCCTCCTTTTCGTGAAAAGATTGGCTGAGACCACTACGTCCCTTCTAGATACCAGTCGGGACGGAAGTAACCCCCTTGGTCCGCCTGTGTGGTGTCAAGTCCCAGCAGGTATCGCCTCGCGTCAGCCTTGGAGTACCATCAATCATCAATTGCCCCGCTTGCCTTTATCTTTCTCAAACCTGCTGGTGTCACCATTTACCTCCCCTTTCCCCTCGTCGCGCCCAACATCGCTTACGAAACTACCCGGATGTTCTGCGGATGGTGTGCTCTATTCACGGTCGAACACCATCCAAAGGAAACGCGTTTGCCTTCTACAGTCTTCCAGGCGTCCATTTCCGCTAACCCTTGCGGTGTAGATGGCTCGGAGCGCGATCCCTTGATCCCACCTTCGGGTTGTTCAAACAACATAGATGGTATCTTACTGCTTCGCACCCCGACTGAAGCATCATCATCTAACAACCAGCCTTAAAAGAACCCAGGCGCTTAAGAGGTGACTCGTGCGCAACCTTCATTATCCTTACGATCTTCGCATTTATGATCGGTGGATTCGTCGGCGCCTCGATTCAATATGCTACCTCTCAAAACATATATGACCCCACCATACGAGACTACATTCGGCGCCAATGGGAGGCTGAGCGCCGAGGATGGGAGCGGGAGCGTCTCAGGAAGCGAGAGGAGGCGGTAGAGAGGCGTCGCCAATGGGAGGCCGAAGAGGAGAGGGAGCGACAAAGGGAAGAAGAAGAGGCGGCAGAGAGGCGTCGCGAAAGGGAGTCCGAAGAGGAGAGGGAATGGCAACGGGAATTAGAGGAGGCGGCGGAGAGGCGTCGTCAATGGGAGGCTGAGGAGGAGGCGAGGCAGCGTGCTCAAACCCATTGGCTGGCATTGGAGAGCTCGCAACATTGCGAACGTTATGGGACGAGGAAGTATTGGGCGAAGATGGGCCCCCTGGCTGGTGGCTATGATCCTATGAAGGCGTGTTGGACCTCGGAGATTGAGATACACGGTCGGAAGATGAAGCTGACGTATTGCGAGGATAAGGTATGTTTGGCTGACTCTCATTTCCACTGTCATTGAATACCCAATTTGTAGGGAGCGGATCATGGGGTGTATGGTCATTGGATAGTCGACTTTGACGAAGGCGGGTGTCATCCTTGGTGGGAAGGATTTACGGATAAAGTCAGTGGATGACTAGACTACTCTTACCTCTATCTGATTTTTTTATAGGGATGTACAGCTTCAGGATCTGGTCTCCGGGTACGCACATTTCATCTCTGCTCGCGTCCATTCGCGACTTACACGTTTCCTTGTGATAGCGCTTTGACGCCCACCTGATGAATCTCGACTACGCGGACGGATGGAACGTCATGTGTTCTTCCACGCCAGCCGATTTCAATGGGTTGCATTTCAATGGCGCCATGTCTTGCGTTAATGTGCATTGCGCTTCCCCTACTTACTATGCTTCATCAAATCTGATTACTTGTACAACAGAGTTACTTTGGCGGTGTTTTTGGAATCTGGGACATCGTCGATGGGAGGACATCTGAGATTTGGAAATTCCGGCAGTCCGGCGGATCGGCGGATCCGGCACACAAACAAATGAAGGCCATTGCCAAATACTCGGCTACAGGCGGTCACTTATCAATCAGCGCTCCTTGAGCGCTCCAAGTCCTCCCTTCCGATCTTCGGCTGTTTTCAATGTAAGTATGTAGTCTGTAGTGAATGGCACAAAGAGCTCTGGTTGATAAGGAATCCGGACCTTCCAATCGAGCTGCAAGAATAGTATAAAACCTGCTTGTTATCGTGTGCAAGGAGATTACTAGTGCACTTCCCCATGAGTGAAATACTCCCAATTGTACAGCTCCTACACCACTATGCAAACTTACAACCTCCAGTTACCATAACCTTTGAGCAGCTCATCAAATTCACTGCCTATGCCTCTCGTCTCAAGGATGATCTATTACTTGTCCAGCCATCCTCTTATTCTCTCTCACGGGGGCCACCAATCTTATCTCCTGCGATACAGTTATTCCTATCGGAAGCTTGCTTGATACCCCTTGATGCCGTCCCCCAAATCTGGGTAGCGCTTGCCAATATTTCATGGACCACAAAGCTTGAGTTGGCGTCAACTGATGGAAATTTTGAGGCGGCGTATAGAACCTTTGGACATACCCGAGGAATTTGTATGTATCTTAAATTAGCTCTAATGGGTGGTTCTCACCAAAGTCTAAATTATCTTGCCCTGCAGCTTTTCGGACAATAGCGCCACCCTCGCATTACTGCCTGAATAGGAGTTGTCGACGCAACCAACAAATGATGATGAAAAAATGTGAAGTCCGGAAAGCAGTCCTTTTCACAGCTGGGCATGGTGCGATACCTGTCCATTCACTTCATCTATATTGTGAATGTGAGTATGCATTTATCAAACATCATGAAAATTTCTCTCTAATTATTTTTTGCAGACTGCAAAGTCAACTACCACCATAACTTTCGTGTCGTTGAAGGACAGCGATTTTATTATGACACACTTCCTGATATCATTCAGGTCGGTGAACATCAATTTGCAGAAAGAAAACTGATCAATCTGTGGATATCAATGATGTTAATGGCCTGGACTTCGGCTACAAACTGTGCACGCATTTTTAATGCATCAATGACAGAAGATGTCTTCCCTGACTGGCAGTTCAGTCTCTCCGTGACCTCAGATCAAGTTTACGATGGCTTTACAATTCTATCCCTTCTTGAAGACTGTATTTCTCAGCAGAAAACTCTTGTCGTACCACATGGGGGTGCATCACGAGATCGTTTCACCGAAGCAATCTGCATTCGAAACAACCGACTCCGACTTTGCAGCCAACCAGAGTTATACCATTACTGTAAAAAGTGCACACGTATATTTGAAAGTAAGTTGTGCAGTCCTTTATATAAACTTACTGCTCAGGTTTTTCAACAGATCCCCATCGAAAGACATCTGTTATTGTCATTGATGGTGTGACTGTCTCCCATCCGTGTTGTGGTGTTCCAAACTGCAAGACTCCTTTAGCTAATAACCATCACCGATTCTGTCCGGGGCACTCTCACATGAACAGTATCTGTTCAATTGTTGGTTGCTCAAACCCAGCTGTTCCAGGGAGAAAGTCTTGTGGTCATGTAGATCATCAACGCATCGAGGATGTGCACAACGAGCGTGGCCAATCTCGATTTCAATTGAAGGAGCGATATGAACGTTCACAGCTCGCACATCCAAATGATGCCGTTGGGGAACAGGTAACTAGTATATCCGAAATTATTGACGATGACGAAGAGGAAGAATTTGAGCCAGGAAGGGAAGGACCTGTTCCTGTAACACCAAACTCGACCGCTTCGAAACCCCGCATTCGCGCTCAGTTTGGTCGACGCCGAACGCATAACGAGCAACTATTTGTTGCGCCGTGTGGAATTATTGTTGCTCGAGAAACCTTTTATCACGCTGAAGCCCTCTATAGTGTTATCGTGCGTATTTATCAGATTTTTTCATTCAAGTTTTTATTTGGTTCACGATACTCTCTAGGAAATGATAAAACGAACCTACCGGCTGCCGGGTACCATGCCAGAACACATATTCTTCGACAACAACTGTTCTATTAAAAAAATTGTCAAGAACGACCCCATTTTTCAGAAGGTTGGACTCACAGTGGATGTCTTCCACTTCAAGTGCAAGCATAGCATCGAGGATCTGTTCTGTCAAAGGAACTGCAATCCTTCCGCATATCCAGAGCTGCTCGGAGAGAATGGGAAAGCATGGTACTTTAATTCCTCCATTGCAGAACAGACGAACGCATGGTTGGGAGGATATCAGTCAATTTGTCGCGAGATGACAGCGCATCGTTTTAATTTTTTTTTGGATGAAATGATCCGTCGCAGGAATATAGTCACGAAGAACAAGCTTGAGAGGGAGGGGAGCCAGCCCAAGACATGGATTATTCCGACCGTCTAGTCCTACATACATTTCTTATCGAGTGCTACATATTATTGGCTACATATTTGCTATCAATCGCTAAGCTCAACTACATCTAATGACGACGAGGCCTGCGCCCTCATATGTTCCTTAACCTCTGCAGCAAACTTGTACCAGTACCCTGCTTCCTTTCTGCTAGCACACAGGTAGTGGTGCTTAAGGTGTTGTGGTGCTTGTCTCCAGATGGCTTTATTGTCGGAGAAGGTAGATGAGTGGAAGGCGAGGCCGGGGAAATGTTCACGAAAGATAATGGCGGCAGTACGAGCGCGACGCCCACGGACAGAAGTCTTGGCATCACGAAAGCAGCGCGCAACGTCACAGACAAAATAGTCCCTCGGCCACTTCTTCTCTTCGCCGTCACTCAACTCAATGGGATCATCTACCAAGCCAGCAGCTGATGTCGGTGATGTTTGTGAGGGAAGGAATGACGACGAGGCACTAGGCAGGGATGGTGACAGTGGAGAGATAGATTCAGGCAACATTGAGCATGAACGCTCACGTTTGACAGCGTGTGGGAGAAGGTTGGGTGGGGATGCCGCCTTGCGCTTCTGAGGTGACGACGAGCCATCGGCAGGGATAAGAGACCTCCATGCATTACGGACATAAGCGCGTTCTTGAGGAAGGTTGTTGCGGAGGTGGGGGCGGGAGACTTGATTGAAGAGTTCGTCAAATCGTTCACATTTGCGCACCGAACGGTCCCTGAGAAAGACGTGCTGACCCTCGTGAACCTCAATGATATGATCCACGCCGACCGTCAACCAATATCCCTCCGACTCATCATACATCTGCAAAGTCCTAGACTCCACTGATGCTTGAAGCCCGACAAGAGAGAGAGCGGCCGACGACAGCTTCAAGAAGGGCCATGTAAACCCTTTTTGTAATTGACAGCTTTCGGGTTCAGCATTATCAGGCCTCCAAGCATGTACAGTAACCTTTTGTACAGCTTGCTTGGCGCTAGCGATGCGTTCGGCATCAAGTTTGCTCTTGGAGAGCTCGAGCGCTTGCTCGCGTGCCAACGACTCGACGTAAATGGGAAGGAGGTGTGATGCGAAGCGTGCGTCGGGCCGTGCGTCGAGGGGTTGAGAGGAGATGTCGTTGGCAACAATTGCCGTGGATGGTGGCTGAGTTTGTGAGCCATATCTCTCAGCAACGGGCAACGGGGTTGTAGTAGAGGGGTCGGAGGGAAGAGGGAGAGAAGCCTGTCCAACTTTCCTGTGCGTCTTGGAGCTGCAACCACCTGCGTCGAGGCAGTGCTTGCGACAGAACCGGCGCGTACAGTCATCCGCGAGGCGCGTCTGCCCGCAACCTTGAATAGGGCACTTTGAGGGATTCGGACCACTGGAAGTGGTGGTAACGGGAGCAGGGGCAGAGGTGTAGGTGGCAGCAACAGGGATGGAAGGAAGAGTGGGGGTGGCGAGTGTAGGAGGCGATGCGCTAGGTGATTTGCTTGAACCTGGGGCCCAGCGAAAGAACTGGCAGGGTTCGCCTTGTTCATTCGCAAGGTGGCACTTTGGAATGGTGTCAGCCAACGAAAATCATCAAGAGAAGGGGATAAGCACGTACCGTTGCTATAAGGCGCCCCCTGTTCCCTTTCGCATTGCTCTGGCAGATCCTAAACTTGGCAAACTGACCGCAGTTTGTGCAGGTATATCCAGTGAGCCCATTTGTGGCCTTGGGAGAACTCGCACGGAGATCGGATTCTGAGATTTGCGACATGAAAAAGACGTGAGGACACCTAGGGAAGACATTTCGAGGGGAAAGAAAGTGGCGGATAGATTGTGTGCATGTTGAATGAGTAGTGACATTGATACTGTGGATGATAATCAGTTGAGAGGAAGCAACGGAGCAGGATAAGACTCACAACGAATGCAATATGGAAACTTACAGTAGAATGACGAGGAATTGGGAATAAGAGAGTGGGGGAGGAAAGAGGTGGCGCAATGAAGAAAGTGACGTCGACTCCAATTTATGCTGTTGAAAGGCTGGGGATGCAGAATAGGATGGAGTTCTCGAAGCATGCCTCTGAGACATTGGGGAAACGCATCTGGAAAGAAGGCGCGCAGAGAACAGAGTGGTCAACGACATTGCTAACGGACAAATTGATGAAATTCAGCGCGCTGACAAATCCGCCGGACGCCGGACGCGCGGAATTTCCAAATCCCAGATTTTGTGGTCGATGGTGACTGTCTCTAGTTTGATCGACATGAAATGATTTTTTTTGCTGTGTAGGGAAGATGCTAGCTACCTCGTGATGTTTAGGGACACTGTACAACACTATTAATTATATTTTTGTCCGTTGCATTCGGTCAGGAATTCAGGGGCAGCAGATAATTTTGGTGAGCATGGCGCTTCTGATCCTTCTCGCAGATCAGCCAACGGAAAGAAATCCTATTTCCGGTCGAGGAGGCAAGCCCGCCAGGTAATCGCAGACGATTTGGATGTTTGAGTTGCTGGATGTCAACTTGACTTTTTACTTGCATGAGCTTCTTCGTCCCAAGGAAATGAGCCACACAACCATCTGAGCAGAAAGCCATTGCCTATATCCAAAAATTGCCCTGCTGCGGCCTGTGTTATGATCTTTCGAGATTCCAACCGCTTGTTCATGCTCTTACCCTACTTTCATTAAGTCCTAAGTTGCCCACTGAGTTAATATCTAATGAATGTAGGGGAAAACAGGGTACATGGCATGTCTGAGGAGAAAATTACAATATCGTCATGATGTTGCCAGTAACGTCGCATCTAATCCTCTGTATCTTCAGTGCCCGAAGAATCTGAAGGTGAAGGACTCAAAATCATACGCTGGGCACGTCTCCTGGGTTGCCTAATTGGAGGTGACTCGGCAGGAGAGTTAGGAGAGGATGACGACGGGAAGGGTGAAGGACTCAATACGATCCGTCGGACACGTTTCTTGGGTTGCCTAATTGGAGGTGACTCGGTCGGAGACTTGGAGAGAGTCGTGGGAGGGTTAGGAGAGGATGACGACGGGCAGGATCGTTTATTAATAACAGAGCGTGCACTTGGAGTCGGCGTCTGTGGCGGCTCGAGGGATATGATGTTGAGAGAATCGGTGGTGGCAGGAGAGACGGGAGGTCGCGTGGACAGGTAATTCCTCGTAGGTGTTGAATGACCTTCTGACTCATCGATATTCTGTCCATAATCACCGTCATGATCAGGGTATTCATGGGTTTGTGGATTTTCCTGATGCACTGAACTCTCATTCATCTCCAGTAAAATTTTGACCAACGTATAAATTTTCTTGAGAGCATTCATCGATTCCGGCGTTCCGAATGTCAAGGGAAGAGACCAATTTGGGCGTTGTGCAGGGGGTTCATCCACGTAAGATGGATCCATAATCGAAGAGGCGGAAGAAGGAGGTTTCGCATGACCTCTTGTGATTTTCGCCCATTTCCAAACAGATCCTGCAGCTACCAACGCGACAACGTACTGTTGGTCCTGGTTTTGGTGAAACAGGAACCTCGCTTGCTGACAGACCTGTCCTTGCGCAAAGTTCAGCTGACGAATATCAGCAAGCACCTTCTTATTTTCCAAGATGAGCGGGATCAACACATCGGTGATCTTCACTGGAAGCGCCTGCAGGTCTGAGACAGAGGCGATGTCGTCGCTTAGTGCGAATGGATCATCACCAACCACCCCTGTCAAATGTAACACTGCAAAGTCGGTGATGCGGAAGCTTTTGGCGATGGAGATATCGGGGAGAGGCGGTGGTGAACTTCTGGGTGATGGAGTGGTTGGATCGGATGCGGTCTCGTCGGGCAAATCAGGCGTGAGACCTCCCTCACCATACGCGAGTTCAGAATCACTGTCCAAGTCTACATGGGCCTGTGGCGCCTCGCTGTCTTGGGGAGTGCCCGGGCTCCCCTCCTCCTCCTGCTCATCACCATCGTCGGACCCCTCCTCAGCTAGACCTGGGGTATCCTCTGTGTCCTCGCAGTCATCTATCTCCGGAATAACGAGGAGAGGATACTGAGGAAAGACAATGCACTCAGGTATCCCTGCAAAAATGTCGACAAGTACCGCACACCAGAAGCCATACCAAGGCCCTTCCAGGAGTTTGTAGTTCCATCGGGGGTCATTGCCCAAGCTTTTCGCAAAGGCAAAGGCGATGGCAAATTGTAACGTTAGGCGAGTATGGGATAGAAGGGATGATTGAGGCATGTCAATGGCCTACCAGAGAAGAAAGGTGATCACTATTTATTGGACGAAGACTTAGTCCATTGTTCTCTGGGTATTCGGAAAATTGTGGCCGTCGGGCATCAGCGAGTGCAAAGCGAGTGGACCAAAACAGAGTAATCTTGAAGTGAACCACTGAACCCTCTTCACATTCGGTGATTGCCAAACGATAAGGACTCACTGGTACTCACTGATCATCTTTTCGTCAAGGTTTTCTATCTTGTGACGCACAGGGAGGGGAAAACCTCCCAAATGGAGGTTTTCGAAATTCGAATCATTTCAGACATCTCACGTGTCTGAGTCAGAGGACAATGGAGGGAGGCCACAAATAAGCTCAAACAAAGCTACTATTTCAACACCATCACGTCGCCACGTCGCCATCTCTCATCTCAACGCCATGGACGTCATCAAGGTTTACGGGTTCCCCATGAATGAGGTTTGGATGGTCGAAGAGGGCGTCAGATTGGGATTTTTCAACCCAGAAGACGATATCTATGGGGAAAAGTTCGACGTTGAGCCTGTCTTTGAAGCGATCAGGAAACAGAGTGGCATCAAAGGGGTCCACATGAATTGCGTTTACGTCGGCGACGAATTCGCCATACTTTTCTGGGAAATTCCATACCAGATTTGGAAGGCACCTCGCACCCCAAAACTAGAGCGTCGTCTGGAAAAGTTCCTACAGCTGGCACACCTCCCTCCAATGAGACCGGCCATGTATGCTTCGATGGACGGAGACTTGCCGAAAATCTTGCGAGGGATGAAACAAGCGCCGCCGTGGATAGAAAAGCTGAGAGTAGAAAGCTCTCCCCTATATCGGCCGCTCAGCGTATGTTTCCCTTTTGCTCATGCTCTTGCCGCTCTCGACTCACCATGTCAAACTAGCATCATCTTTTTACAAAGCAAGACAGATACCCTGCGCGTGCTACTACTGCACACGTCCAAAAGTGGTTTTCTGGACCACCAGTGCCTTTCCTCAACGGACGTCTTACCCGGGCTGAGAACGACCAGAAGGAGATCACGAAAGAGAGTCTGGCAGCCGAAGGCGAGCCTGTGCTCGGCTTCTAGTACTGGTTGTTCAGGTGCAAAAGATATATTTATCGCGTTGTAATGAGTAACAAGGTCGGACAGAGTATACAAAAGATCGAGCTTGCATGCTGAGAGCTCTGGAGAGGCGCATTCGTTTACGATCGGGATGGTCGGCCGCCTTTACTTTTAATGAGTACGACGGGTGGTCACACCTTCATAGACAGATTTGAACAGTTGAGGCGTACTCATTCAAGAAATGAGCGAACATAAAGAATGGCCCAAATAAATATTACGTATCCGCATTCTGCGGGGGGCTCGCTTCGCCATCCGAGTTGTGTGGTAGCTATACAGCACAGTTTTCCAGAGACCAACCTATACCGTAGTACGTAGTGCACAATATAAGAAGCATTTATGCGCATATTCGTCGACGCGATGTTCAAGCGATGTTGCATCCCTCGGAGTCCTCTTCTTCATTGGCCTCCTTGACCTCCTCTGGTCCCTCAACACCCTCGTGGCAGCGTGCGTTTCCGCAGCAGTTGGGATGGTCATGCTTTTCCTAATGGCGACCACAGCCCTCCCTACCCCGCAACACGCCTTGACAAAAAAGACAACACCTCCGCGTTGCCCAGTGCCCTCACAAATCCCCGCAGTCATGGCTCTTCTACCACGCTGGGCACTGGTTCCTCTTGCTGATCAGCTCTTCAACCCGCCATGGTCTGCCTTTGATTCAACGCGGTTCCACCGTCTGTTGAAATCTTCTGACGACAACAGCTGGCTTTGCATACGACATGCGCTGGCGCAACCTTCGAGATGCTGAAGATATGTCCTGGGGCACACTGAAGACGACCCGGGATTCTGACGACATTGTTCATGGCCTTAAACAATACATTCGCATAAAGCGTCGAGGCCATATATAGCACAATGCTCCCGGTTAATTGTATCATACTTCTCCTAACGACTTTGTCCCTCACACCCTTTCTTCTACAATCTCCTTCTCCTCCACCTCGAACTAGTTATACCTCTAATGCTCCATCTTCGGAGGGCCATTTGCCATTGAACCACCATATTGCGCTTGGGGTGGTTGGTAATACCTCAGCTAGCGGCGGGATTGTAGCAGCGACCAACTATGACCTTAGCTTCCGCTATACAGTAGCAATTCTCAATTTTGTTACGATTTTGCTCAGCACCTCACGTGTTAAGCTGCTCTGATAGTGATTCAATATTGCAACTTATATTGTATGGATGAGAGAGAGGTACAGTGAAGATGAATAGCGCACATATCTACATGTGGTGATGCCAATCAAACAAGGAAGAGGAGCTACAATAATTTGCCAAGATGTTTTTGAAGAGACGAAGTCGAAGACCAAGAAGAAAACAGCAGAGAGGGTGAAAGAAAGAGAACAAATATTCACCCAGGACAATAGCAGATATCACGATCGTCTTCGAATGTGGCGTTCTTCTCCATGTTTCACCTCTATCCGATCCCAATTATCCGAGCTAATGTAAAGACGAGGATGGTTAAACTGATGTTGATGCCCTCCGAACCAGGGGCTTCGTACCATGCCGGGATTGTGCTGACGCCGTCGTGTTAATGGCTGATGAAGTTTGTGTGTGTTAAATTTCGTCATACTTGTAATCGCCAGCCGACTTGGACAGGGTGGAGAATAACGAAGCGGGGAGTGGTACGGATTGGGAGGTGTAGAAGTAATTCGAGGGGTCTGTCGACGCGGGTGGCTGGAGAGGCGTCGAGAGAGGGACGTCGGTCTCGGAATGCATATGAGGATCTTGTATGACGGCGACGAGGCCTTGACGATTGGGGTTTGTTGACCAGGTGACAAGCTCGCTGCCGTCGTTTGGGGGTTCGAGAGACACACCGTATTGCTGGGTGAACAAAATTCAATGTCAGCTGTCAAGAAGACAAGAAGCAAGGCGTAACGGCGCACCTCGTTGTACTGATGATCATACTGTCCGACAGAATCTTCATATCTCATCCCATCAGCGATCATCGGCCGCTATCAGCCCGAGTCAGCGATCTGGTCTTCCAAACCCGACGACGGCCACTAGTACTCGCCCTCTTGGGATAACTCACTCCTTCCACGCGCTTCTTCATCCTCCCACTGGAGATGTCGAGGGCCGTTGCCGTAGGATGTAAAGGGAGTGTAGAGGTGCGGGAATGAGGCGGCGGTATCTCCTGTGGTCGTAGTTTGAGAGTAGGGATGACGACGCAATGATGGTGTGCCTGGTGTACCCATCCTGCTGGCTTCCCCGTCTCTTGGCGACGCGGCATCAGATGGAAGAGTGATTGTAGACTCCGGGAGTGTTGAGCGCGGGTTGCTTGACAGAAGGGAGAGAGAACGTTTGAATATGTGGGTTAGTGGGATTGCGGAGAGGCCTACGGGAAGGGGGGAAGGGTCGTCGGATTGAATTTGAATGGAGGTAGAGCCTGGCTGCAAAACATCCTGCTTTGGGGTTGTCTCGATGTGAGTGGTGACCCGAGGGATAGAATCGACGGCAGGGATCGTCGTCTTTCGAGAGCGGCGGGGTCTGGTGGAGGAGGATGAAGGCGAGAGCTCGGATTTTCCTTTCTGGCCCATCATCATTCCCTCCCACTCACAGCCTTCTTCAAATCTGCGCCCTTCTTTCCCTCCACAAGCAGGTTCGCAAATTTTCGCACCTCGACTCTTCCTTTCCCTTTGTCTATGCTTTCCGTTTCCCTAAATCCCTGCCTTTTGCTGAATCCTCCATTTCGTCCCCCGCGCAGACATCACCATCGTCAGGCTCTGGAAGCGAAGCAAGTGGGTGTTCTTGCGCCGTGGTTGTAGTAGGAGAAGACGAAGATACCCATCGACGTAGGTGAAAAATAGGCGAAGTGGGTGTGATGAGGGACGGCGTTGACGCCGTCGTCGAATCCGTCTGCATCTGGATCATAGGCCTAACTGCTGGAAGCTGGGTGGGTGAATGCTGTGTGACGATGGGAGGGACGGTAGTTGGGCTCAGAAGGAGGTTGTGGATGGGTACACCGGCAGCGGACACGATCCTCGCACCCAACGGACTAGGACTTCTACTCCTAAAAATCAACGGGCTAGCAAACCCACTGCTCCGAGCCGGAGGAGCCTCCACAGAAACCTGCTCCTCCGCATGCGAGTCGTCAATAGACGCCAAGATGTACGCAGCAGAGTCCAGAACAAACGGAACGGACTGCTCCAGCTGTTCAGTCGACTTTGCGCATGATACCCTGTGGGGGTTGGGCGGGTGATGGGGGAGTGTAGGCGGAGAGAGAATAACGGGAGGTTCGATGTCCCATTCGAGGATCGCCGATGAAGATGCGGCTATGGTTATTGTGTCAGATCGGGGTACATGTGAGTGAAAGAAAAAGACACGTACAGCAAAGTGGGCGATGAAGGGATTGAGTTGGGTGAACGTGATCCGAGTCGGGGTTCATGTGAGCGTAGGCTGCGTTCGGGGTGTTTTGTAGGTGAGCCGAGGCCGGATGTCATATGGCGTAAATCGACGGCTGGAGGAGAGTGGGCACGAAGAGTGGCTGCATTGCTCATTAGTGGTGGCATGCGAAATGAAGAGGACGAAGACTTGCGAGAGAGGGATTCTGGTGATGATACCATGATGGTAGACGTTAGCCAACAGAAAGGTGGTTGATTGTGATGGTTAATATGAAGGACATGTTGTGTGTTACTTGGAACAAGGCGAAAGCCATCATCACGTTTGTCATCATGTCCATGTTTGACTCTGTTGACCAACTACATCGTGATAGGTTCAAAACGCATAAGGACCTACAGAATGGTAAGCAGCTTATTGGGACTCAGGAACTTGGCCTGACATTCAGTATAGTACTGTTGTTATGTCTCGCCACCCTCAACCTCGGTCGGCTGCAGAGAAACAGCCTCTCGCGAGTATCGTAGGCGCTCCCCATTGTCACATGAAGTTTGTCGTTTCGAACCATTCGTTTAATCAAATTCTCCCCATCAATCATATCGGCGAAGTTTTTATGGCGGACCTCAGGTCGGCAGAGGGTGAATCCAAATAACTCAGCTTCCCTTCACAATCTCATAATATCATTTATTTTCAGTTACAGGGGCTGAAACGACCTCACAGCTAGTCGCTTTGCAATTCACCCCCAGTCCGGGGAACGGCTATACCGGACAGGCGATCTAAGCAAAATGCTACCCGACGGCAGTGTGCTTCCAGTTGGGCATATTGATAGGGAAGTGAAAGTCCGAGGTAAACTTTGAATCGAATTTCGTCGTGTCAGAAACTTACTAGCTTAAATTACGACTTTTTGTCGTTTTAGGGTACCAGTGAGTGTCATGATTTTTTTTATACTCTCATGCCAACCACCTCTTCAGAATTGAACTCGACGACGTTGAGCGCACCATCTGTGATCTCATACCAGAAGTAATGGCTGTTTCCGTCCAACCCGACGAATGTGGGTCATCGCTCTGCGCTTTCATTGCTCCTAAGCTTATCGACGGCGATTCAGTGATAAGTCACTCTCCAAGCGCGTCCCGAGATACATGGTCCCAAGTTCGATCTATTGTTTAGATCGCCTTCCGTTGAATACCAACGACAAAGTTGACCATAAAACTATACGCGCCACGATAGGCGACCTCATCTCGCAGGCCCATTCTTCCACCGCTAGACAATGACCGTTTTACTTGGAAACCCCGCCTAATTCGGAGTCATCCGATACGGACGATTGCAAATATATGGAAAGCTATCTTGGGTCTGTCAGCACCGCCGTCTCTGAGCAACAATTTCTTTGATATCGGCAGTAACAGGTGCGTCTTTTCAAGCGGCTCATCCTATGATTTGCTCACCGATACTTAGTCGTAGCATGCTGGTTTCTGCCCTTGCCAGTCAACTCAAAACCGCTTTTCCTTCTGCGAAGCTTAGAATCACCGACCTTTTCTTGCACGTCATTATCTTGGCTCAAGCTGAGCTTGTCTCCGACAAAAGGGGCTCTGTGTCGAACAGCCCTCAAAGCCAAAGTTTAAGTCCCGCCCTGCCGCTAGCACCTCAGCCTGGTACTAGTGACGAAGATGTCCCAGGCGCGATTTTGACTATTTGGAAAGCTTTCCTTAGTGCTCAAGATCTAAATCCCTCATCCAATTTCTTCGACGCTGGTGGCCATAGGTAAGTGACTGGTGCCTCCAGTTGATGTATAATTGATGGAATCTCATTTAGCCTCGCTGTTACACTACTCCTTGAAAGGATCAGGGCTAAGTGGCCTTGGGCAGACATTGAAATCATCGACTTATTCCCGCATGCCACGGTGAAAAGCCAGGCTGCGCTAGTCGCGAGGTATTTACCCACTAAAATCTATCATTCTCCAAAAAGCGCTTCGGAAAAGCCTCTGTCACTAGCTCAACATTCACCCATGACGCCGTCTTCTCGTAGCTCGGAAATAGCAGTTGTTGGAATGGCTGGGTGCTTCCCTGGCGCGTCAAATCCGGACGAATTGTTTCGCATCTTCCTCGAGAAGAGGGAGGCATTGACCACATTCCCTGAGCGCGATCCAGAGTCTTTACCTTTTAAAGATGCGATCTACATTCCAAAATGTGTCGTTATACCGGCTGTAGAAACTTTGAACTGGCTGAATGGGGTATAAAGGGAGACGAAGCGAGGTCCGTTTTCAATCACTATATCGCGTATGTAAACTAACTTCTGTCTTTAAGGGAGATGGATCCCCAGCAACGTTTGTTCTTGGGGGTTGCACGTGAGCCTTTCCAAGGCACTGGCCATAAGCTCTCCCCGATGGATATAATAATGTTGGTCTTTATGTTGGAACAGCTCACAACACGTGGGAGCTTGTCAATCGTGGGCAGTATATCAGTCGCCTTTCCTCAGTAAGTAACACAACCTCATGGTGTCTAAATTGACCGACAATGTCTTCCGCCAATTAGGGAGGGGTCCATCACGGCAAAGAATCAGCTCTTCTCTCCATCAGGCCATTGCAGACCGTTCGACCACCGAGCGGATGGTACTCTTCTGGGAAATGCCGTTTGCGCGCTGATATTGCGAAGATTGGACGATGCCATTCGTGATGGCGAAAAATATACTCCGTCATCTCAGGAGTTGCAATTGGATCGGATGCAGCCACCAAAAAGGCTGGCTGTACAGTCCCAGGCCCTCGAGGGCAAGCGGATGTTATTATGCGCGCTTGGAAGGATTCTGGTATCTCGCCCTCTAAGGTCGTGTACGCTGAGTGAGTTGAACGCCAACTGCCTCATTTTGTAGAATTGAACACCATTCTGTTGGTGAGGGAACACGCGAGTACACAAGCAGCTACGTCTTATGGGCGGGTGACGATAAGGTGGCATGGAATGTATGATAAGGTGGGTGGGCGCAACGAACAGAAGCAAAAAGAAAAGGATGGTATAAGGAAAAGTCCGTCTTATGGGCGGGTGACGATAAGGTGGCATGGAATGTATGATAAGGTGGGTGGGCGCAACGAACAGAAGCAAAAAGAAAAGGATGGTATAAGGAAAACGGCAGAGAAACGAAAGAAAGAGCAAAGAAACAAAAAGAAAACGTACGGTTCGTCCTCCGTATCCAACTGAATAATAACCAAATTCGTCTGATCCGGGAGATGGTGCGAGTTACAGTAGCCAAAGTATACCGAATTCGTGCGTCGCAGGACGCCATTTGTCAGTTCCGTAGCTGGGTGTGGAAAAACTGTGTTCCACCATTGGAAGAAGCGGGAGGGGTAGCACGTAGGGGAGATAGGGTTGTCCCCTGCTCCGTGGCCCGGGCATGCTGACACTGCGTGGGCAGTCGTATGTGAGTTTCTGGGTGGAAAGAGGAAGAGGAAGAAGAGCGAACCACCCAAAACAGACTCTGCCCCGCCAGCGCCTTATTCAACACTCGTTGTTCATGGTGCGTCCAGTGATTCGGAGAGAGTGAGTTGTTGTTCGTTTTGTTGACCTGGATGTATGCGCAGAATTCATGTTCCCGGCTGTATCTTTGAACTCGACGTTCCGAGAGGTGGTGGACAAGCCGTTTGTGAGCGAACTTAGGTGCTTTAAATCCATTGCCCAGGCCCTGGTCAATGAAAATGATGTCATTGTGATATAATTAATTGTACCTGGCGCTCGACGCGCCCACAAGCTAAAATACTGAACCATACATAAACAAGTTTTTTCAGAGCCTCCTTCGAAATGCCCCTCCGCCCTCTTCTCATCCCCCGGACAACATAAGTAATCCTCAAATCGCTCTTCGAAACCACTGGGGACACCTCGCTGGCCAACACGGTGAACGTCCAGCAGGGAAAGGGCCAATGGCAACCGTCGAAGTTAGTGCAGGGTTGGGTATTTCGGTAGTGCCGAAATATATTGATTCAAAGCTATTCAGAGTGACGGCCATCATCAGTCGTTGACGTTGGGTCCAGACCCCATTTGGAGAAAGTTTCCTAGGTTAGATCGGGGAGGTGTCAGTCAACGGACATATATGAACCAGTAACCTCCCCGTCGACAGATATGGCCTCTCTCTTACTCTGATCACTGAGAACGTTCGACTACCTTGATGAGCGGCTTATTCCGGGACCGACAGCGGACACTTTTCTCCCGAGAACCAAGTGACAGCGACGCGACTCCGATGACTAGTGCAAACCTAATTGAGGGAGCGACCTTAATAGGCGCGATGCTGGCGTACCCGTACGTGTCCCTTCCTTCCCCTCCCTTTTCAGTGTTTCACTTCCTTCTCATGAACCTGCTTTTTCCAAAGGATGTACGGGACTTTAATATGTCAAGTCTCATCATACTACAAACGATTCCCGGACGACTTGCGGCATCTCAAGGTTTTGGTTCGTCCCCTTTCCCCTTCCCTCTTAATTAAAAAGATTACTAACGCTATCATCAAAGGTCGCGCTTATACTCCTCGTACGTGGTAGTACCCCCCTCTCCATCCTCCCCTCAAATCAAATCAAAACGACTCATACTGACTGAGTCGGAACAGACCTCAACCGTCGGGCTTGTCATCAATGTCAATCTCGTATGGTACTATTGCATACAACGCGGGATTGGGGTTGATCCACATACTTTTCGTTTTTGCGATCATTGGTGAGTTTCTTGTCGTTTTTTCTTTCTCTTTGAAAAAGTCTAATTTTGGATGTGGGGGGTAGGACAATATCGGTTAGTTCGATTTATCCCGCGCTTTGTACTCCACTTATTAATGGCGAGGAAGGCGTTTTTTATTCCGAATGTATGTTCAGCGTGTTTCTTGAACGACATCCCGATAATTTTATCTTTCTACTAGGAAATGACTTGTTTTCTTGCAGAAGCGTACGCTACATTCTTCCCTCCCTTCCTCTCTTGTTATTTACGTCCAACATGCACCTTGTAAATTAAACAGCCTATTCCTTAAACGGATGTCGGCATGTATGTTCCGTTCTCTTCCCGTCTTCCCTTGACTCTACTCACATTTAGAATGCTTAGTGTCGAGGAAGAGGTATCCCACTGTTCTCGCTGTAGGTTCCTCTTCTGTCTTTGGTGTAAAGGTTGACGACGGGGATAGCCAAATAGTTCGTCCTGTTTATGCTTGGCTGGGGTGTGTTGTCATTTTTCTTTTCTTTTCTTGAATGCTGACTTTGTTTGGTCGGTGTGTAGTGTTTACGATCGGTAACTAACCCTGTACTCTATCCCACCTTCCTGACTTCTAAAATCCTACCAAGTATACATCCAGGGAATGTATGTTTCCACCTCCCCACCATTTGACCTGCCTAATCTAACCACATCGCACTAAAAAGGTTCCGTCACTGGTGTTATCCTAAACTGCAACTCAACCAGGTCAGTCCTTTCCTTCTTCCCCTTCTCCCCCTTTCTCCCCACTCTCCAACTAATCCCTCCTCTTCCACTGGCAGCCCTACCTCTTCATATGTTATGGCTTCCGCTTCCTCTCAGACGGCTTCATCGCCGGAACGATGTGCACGCTCCTCTACCAACAAACATCAGACATGCCAACCGAGATCAAGAACAGACCGAATTTCGTGAGGGTTGTGAATTCGTTGGTGGTTTGGACGCTTTCTACTGGATTGGTTATGTGGTGTGTGTGTGTTTCTTTTTTGTCTTCCCTTTGTTTCGGACTTTTTTTTCTTTCTTCTTTCTCGTGGTTATGCATATTGATATGGGTTGATCTCAGGGTTTCAGCTGTTGCGTTTGTGCTTACGGTGAGTTGCACCATTTTTTATTTTTTTATTTAGTTATCGCGTGAACAACTCCACTTCAGTATATCCTACTCCCGGACACATTCATCGCGCTGGCTATCTATCTCGTCCGGGGGAACAGTAAGTCTTCATTTTCCCTTCCATCCATTCCCAGGCTTACTAAGAACTTGTGCGCTACCTACCTAGTATATGCCAATGCCGTTCTTGCACTGTACGTTCTCCCTCCAAATCGCTGGCGTATAACTACCAACAATCTGCAGATTACATGTGAGAACACGATACCGAAGAGTAGCGAATGAAGTGATTTCACTGCATGTCCAAGTTCAGACGGTTAATGGCGTTGGCAATCTGGGTGGAGATTCCGATGGGCTAACGAGGCGCTCACGAAGTTGAAGATTTGAAGGCTGTGACACGTTCACATTTGGGTCTTCGGATCAATAACTGTGGTTGTCATGCGGCCACAGTGATACTTAGCCGCGATTGGCGCCAATGTCGTTGCCAGTGGTACCTTCATCTGCCTAGAGGAGACGGTACCTTGCTTTTGGGGGACCAGGATGCATGTTGGGGTTCATAGTAGATCAACTGTACATAGTCGTGCACCTGTACCCTATCTTCCTGAATGTATAAAAGGGCTGGGTTAGCCCCGTTTTCGATAGGATTCCGTTCCGCCGGTTACCTTACTACCCTCTCCTCCTCCTCCTCACTCTCGACGCCGATGCCTTTCACTCCATCTTGCTCGTCGTCATTCTCTCCGATCGTTGAGCCCTTCCGTTTACAATGCGTTTCGTCGTCGCTGATTGTCCTCCACAGTCGTTAACGTCGTCTTGGATGCCGCCCACGGTAAGTGACCCCATCTACTTCACCTCCTTGCTTTGCTGATATGCTCATTCGCCGTTTCAGGACTCTATTGGATGCAGGTCAATGTCGTCGTTTACCCACACGTCAAGGAAAATAACCTACTTAATGTTTCTAGTTGGGTGGAGTACTAGTAGATTCTTCGCCAATGTATGCGTCCACGCTGAAAGTACGTCAGTTTTCAATTCTTGTGTTTGAACATAGTTGCTTACTTTGCGACAGTAAGCGCCCGCTGTCATTCCCTTTGCCCGCCACCTTTCAGGAAGGTGCTAGAAAGGAAGGTACGATGCCCAATCCTAGTTCATCAATATCCTGCACTCCCAGCGATGATATCAACGATGCGTGCGAGTTCTATGAAGAGGTATGTTAGTTATGATAAGGTTCAGTTGACAATGACTCACACAACATCAATGAGTCATCAGTCTCTCCGACCGCCACAGCATGCCCTCTGTCCTCGTCAACTTCATGAACTCATCCATCCGCTCCGCTCAAGACCGCCGGTGAAGTCTGAGAATTGTCCGGGGAGAACGTGCGACTGTGGGCCCGAAGGTTGGGGAGGTTCTGCCCACAAACGAACGAACGTGAAATCATCCATGAACCCGATTCGCCCGTGCCACTTAAGACCACGGTGAAGTCGTAGTGTTGGCCGCGACCGTGAACGGAGGTTCTGGCTACGAACGTACGTCGAATGTTTCACAAACGATGACTGCATCGTCATCGCCCTCGCTCGCACCCTCGTTCGCCATCCATCGGTAATCCGTCGTTACCACCCTCCGTTTGTCCGTCCATCCGCTTCCAACCCATCCAGTGGCCACGTTCTCGCGCTGCCGCTCCGTGGAGTTGTCGCCGCCCATTAGCTTTGTAGCCATTTATGACGGCGGAGATATTGTTTCTGACTGTAACCTGGAGTAGAGTTGTTTGGGACGTCTGACTCGCGAACATGAGTCGTTTCTCCCTCATGAACGTTATTTCGTCGGCTTACCTTCATTTGAAGTGGTTTCTTGCACTGTAGTTTGTCGTCGTGACTTGTGTGGAAAGGTAAGTGAGCGGCAACGATTGGCATTGAGTTGTAGATGACTTACTCAATGTCCAACCAGGTCTTGTCGACGTTTCGTCCGTCCTTCACCAGCCACTGATCGTCATCCTCTCTAATCCGCATCATCGCCCTTGGTCGCCAGCCCTCGCTAAACCGTCTCCACCACCTCCCATTGGTCTGTCCGGCGTGGCGTCGTCGAATGCAGTGGGTATCCGGGTAGTTAACAACCTGTACATCGGTGAAACACGTCGTTCCTATGTAGAAATAGTGGTGATTGTTGCCCGACTTGTCATCTTGAAATTGCCGTGGCAGGTGGTGTCCTCGTCGTTGTAGGTGATGGTGGAAGGAAGCTGGTGTAAACAAGCGAGGAATGGAGGACTGGTTTTGTATGCGTATGCCGAGGGATTGGTCGGTTAAGGCGATGATAGTCGAATGTCGATTGCCCTTGGCCGAACACGATGGGTACGACTCAGCAAGAGGGTGCAGACGGAATGAGCACGGGGACAACGGGATCGTAAACGCGTTGAGCGAGGAGCTATGTTGATGATGTATTCATCGTCCTAGGATGTGGTTACATAACGCGAACAGTGAGTTACAATCTCGTAGTCACGACTTCGAATGATAGTCTCTTATCAAACGACTAGCAGTTGAGGTACTTGCTTCGCCGCCGAGCTTCTCGAAGCAGCGCGAGGACGGCGTAATGAAAGATCGAAGCAAAATCGCAAGAGCAATAATGTTGCTGTATGAGTCTGGCCAATCGTGGTGGCGTGGAGTCAGAGAGGCGAGGGAGGTCAAGATAAGACTGATGGGTGCACAAGGGGGTGCATTCGAAAAGGATGTAGTTGGACTGAATGGGCTTAGGTGTTTGGTCTTGATAGGATGAGGAGGCGCTGGGGACGTGGTCGAGCCAGATGGTGCAAAGCGGGGAAGGTGAGTAGCTTCTAAGGCATCTCTTTGAGGGCAACTAATTCTGATATAGCGGTTTTGTTCTCTGGCATTGCAAGGGTCTGAGGAGTGCTGGTTAGTGCTCATATGCAAAGCCAGTTTTCTACTAGCGCAGTCAACCTTGAGGCATCCACAGTACGCTCTCTGGCAGCTGATTTATCAGGGGACTCTGACCTTTTTTTATCTATAGATCGTTGTATGCTTCATCACACACTCAAGTCCTCAACCAACTTCTTTCCTGCGAATCCATGAAGCGCGTGTTAGGGCCACCAGGCATGTGCAGTCAATGCCAGTCATAACCGTGCCTTACCTCTTGAAACGCAACCTCTACACATTAATATCCCAGGCTATCTGACAGACGCATGTTACTTTTCACATTCGGTTTTACGGGTCTGATGTTCGTATCTAGCATACACAATCCAAGATATCCCCTCTTTTGTCTCGTCACGGTGCCACTCGCCGCTTTCACCTCGCCCTCTCGCGCATCAGCCCCATAGTTACCCACATTTTCATAGAGTCCTGCATCCCATTCTCAGCTCTGTACGTCCTAGAGCAATATAACGGCGCCATAATCAGTTCCATGAATACAGAAGACAAAGTTCACCTCGCGACAAACCTACACATGTTTATCGCCTCTCACTATTCGAAACTTGGCGGCCACTCTCTGTCAATGTATCTCCGCTTTCTTGCAGCCATCTTAAACACCCTCCCCCGTCTCCATCTTTGATCCTCCGAGAGAACACATCCCCAAAGTAGCCCACTTCGAGTATCATCTGGATTCAGACGATGATGAACCCAGGCCTCGCGTGCCCCTTGTTTCCTCTTTCAACAACCCACCACCCCTACCGAAACCTGATCTCAAAACGCTAACCCGCCTGAATAAGTTCCGCCCACCCACATCGATTTTTTGACCAGGGAGGAGGATTGGTATGTGAGATATATCGCAACTCCGTAAGGCGTTCCCCTCTTGGTAAAGAGGAGAATAGCACCATTCTTCTGGGTACGTCGTTGTACGTGTCCAAAATTCAGTCAACTGATCATATGGTAGAAGCAGGTAACGCCGTACATTGGCCGCCCTTGCTTTTACTCTGTGAGCTGTATAATCAGGCGCTCCTCCCGATGGGGGACGACGAGTTCTTTGAGAACAATGCCACAACTCGTAACCCACTCTCGCCCGACGAGCTCGTATGTATCCACTAAACGTTACCTTCACCTTATACTGGCGGGACGATCAATGGCATGCCGAGGATGGGGGTATCTGAGGGAATTCTCGATATACATTGGAGAGCGTGTGAGAAAAGTGACGAAATCTTTATTGGCTATTCATGCTAGAGAGTATGATCAATGCCTTCTGACCCTTCTAACACCGAGCCCAGTTCAAGGAAACCGTTTATATCCCGATACGGGTGGCTCGTACCGTCCCAAATCGACGTTAATTCGTTTATAGAAGCTGCTGTGTGCGTACATGTTTTCTTCCTCCTAACAACTCCACTGACACATTGCCCAAACATCTACCCGTCTGCACACGCGCTCTATCAAAGCAGCAAATCGCCAGCACGTCTCCACGCCTCGGGGTACTCAACAACAATCCCTTCCCCATTCCCTCCGAGGCACGTGTCGCGATCTTTCGGAATTTTGTAATGAGCGATATAATGTCTCGAGAAGGTTAGCATGCGACTTTTTTCAGGGGCTTGAGGGGTGATGGACGGGAGAGGGTGTAAGGGCGCAGGGGTTAGGTTGCTCAAGACGGCTTTGACAGGCTCGGGGAGGTGGATTTCAAGGCGCTGATTGAAATTGATCAATCTGGGCAGGAAGAGTTCTTGGGAGCGCAACTTATTGTAATATCCCTGGTTATCCGACAGAAAATAGGTTACTTTTCATATTCGGTTTGATGGGTCTGACATTCGCCTCTAGCCTACACAATCCAAGATATCTCCTAGCCTTATTTCCCTCCGAGGTCAGGGCGCCACACGCCACTTTCACCTCGCCCTCTCCCTGCATCTGACCCAGATTTTTGCCATTCCACTTCCCACCACCCCTACCACAACTTGAGTCCAAGACACTTACCCACATCAATAAGATCGTTGCGCTCACCCACATCGATTCTCACTTTACCGTTTTCAAATCCGGATGCGCGGGAAGAACTGGTCGCCTTCTTTTGGCCTTAATGGCCGTCGGGCCTTCTTCTCGAAAACAGATTTTGACTCTTGACTACGGCGTTGGCGCTGACTGGAGGATGGGTACGTGAGACATCTCGGGACTCCGTAAGGAATTCCCCCCTTGGCAAAGAGGAGAATAGTAGCGCTCTTCTTGGTACGGCATTGTAGGTGTCCAAAATTTAGTCGACTGATCAGGAGACGTTAGTAAATATGACGATGGTCTGGGGAAGCCTCAAGGTCGACTTACATTATCAATAACTTCCTGTCATTTCACCCCCACTCTTCCGATCACTTCCCTATATTTTATTGTCGTCGTCTTCTATGCACAAACTGAGATCGGTCGCAAAGTGGAGAATCTAAATGAAAAGCGCGTAAACCGCGTTGAGAATACAACTTGAGAAGATAAACTGTAGAGATCTACTCACCATATATTATCAACCTCCAACTCCCCTTGCGGCCTTCCAAATCATGTTATTGATATTTTACCGCCTGCCGTCACTTCCCACATCTCCACGACATCTTCTCATCTCGCATCATCGACAAGCCTCGCCGAAATACCAATGCTTTTGTTCTCTTTGACGCGCACTGTTGCTGTTGCTCTAAACGATGGAAAAGGTTCATACTGGACATCGACGACGACTGAATATTGGATAACATGAAATGTTAGAGTCGCATTGGAGCCAATAGCAGACTCAGACTCACCTCGCAGGTATGCTACTTCCAAAGCCAAACTGCAGGGCCCGAGTGCGGCGGTGACGTGTGCAGCTCTTGTCGCCATCGTGGTCTTCGACAGCCATGCAACTGTTGTCGTTGCTCGTGATGATGTTGAGCATGGTTGAGCATCAAACTCAAACTCAAAGCGAAACTCCTCCCCCCCATCACTGCGCCCGAAACTCTCCTGCCTTTTCTAACGCCTGCAAAACATCCCTGACCAGATCCTCTCCATCCTCCACCCCAACACTCAGCCTCACCAATCGCCCACCAATCCCCAACAGCTCCCTCTCCCTCTCCAGAACACTCCCATGAATCATCCTCGCCGGATGCTCTGCCGGGCTCTTCACCCCACCTAAACTCTCCGCCAACGTAAAAAGCCATGCAGAAGTCAAGAACTTCTCCGCAGCGTCGAACCGACCCCTGATCCTCAACGAAATCATCCCGCTGAATGGAAACCCCTCCTTCCTGATACTGATGAACTTCTTTGCATGGGGAGAGTGCATCCGCCATGCCAAGTCGTTCCGCTTATCCCCTTCCAAACCCGGAAAATGACCTCCTCTACAAGTGGGCTCGCCTTGAGCACCCAAGCAACCAATAAAGCATTCTCCCCGTGAGCCTTCATCCGCAAATGCAACGTCTTGGCACCTCTCTGCGCGAGCCATGAGTCATGTGCGCTGAGCACGGCCCCGATGACGTTCTTTCATCGACGCATGTCAAAGTGGGTGTTTCGAAAGGAGGGAGGTTGAGGGCTCCCATGACGACATCGGAGTGGCCATTGATGTATTTGGTGAGACTGTGCATGAGGATGTCGCCCCAAGGAGAAGGGGGGAGGCATTGGGGAGAGAGAGGGAGGTGTTGTCGACAAGGAGGAGGGGGTGAGATGGATGTTTGTGCTATCTGGGACAAGCGAGGAATGTCGATCAGGTGGAGGGTGGGGTTTGTGGGTGATTCCACCCATATCAACTACAGCTCGTCCGTTTAGAGAAGAAAGAATGAGCAAAAGACAAACCTTGGTAGTTTCCCGTATAGAATCTCTAATCACCTCCTCATCTGCATGGTCCAGATCCACAAACGTTGTTTCTAAACCCTGGTTTTCACTCGACACCCTCGTGATGTACCGAAAGGCGCCATACACGTCGTTGACGCTAACGATGTGGGCGTTGGGACCGAGCAATTGGAGCACTGTGGGAGTAGTAGCGGAACCGGAAGCGAAGGCATAGTCTCTTATACAGACCTTAGTATTACAAATGATAATCGATTTGTGCGAAGGCCAGGGCATGCGCACCCCCTGATTCAAGAGAAGCGAGCGTGGCTTCGATGGCGTTTTGATCGTATGGCAGTTGTTCTGCACATTTAATCCCCGCACGCAACTTTCCGAGCGCGCACGCAACTTTCGACCAGCGCGCAACTTTTGGATGCTAAATTCGACCGCACGGCGCAACTTCCGACTATGTAAAGGCATCAACTCTTACATGTAATTCCTTTTAAACCACCCTCTAGCTACCCCAGCCCTACCTTCTACCACTTCATATAATTTTTATCTAAAATGACCAGGTCACAGTATGCCAATTTCGCACTTTTCACTGATTTCTATTCATCTCCTTCATATTAATTCTTATAGTCATCCCCAGGCCATCTGCTTGGACCAAAGGGTATCCTGTAGCATGTGAATCAGTTGTTATACATAGTAATGAAGGTTATTGGCAAGACTGGTGATGTAACTGATGAGTAGTATGTCTCCTCCATGCACCATCCTCCATGTAAAGTGCCCCCTATATTCTCATTGCTATACTATGATACTACCTTTCTATCAAATAACATACATGACACACTAAATTACAGTATAAATAACAAAATACTTGAGAGTAACAGTGGCTCGAGGGATATGGTGAGAACCAGTACCGGATTTGGTAGTTGGCAATGATCAAGCCGATAATTTTCGGATAATTCCGATCCTGATGATGGAATTTATTCTCACGCAACGTCAAACCTTCTACGCTGTCACACGTTGACGAACATATGCCGCTTGCTGTCAAGCACAATGAGCTTGTACCTTAGTTTCAATGCAAATTATTTGATACAATAGATTCTGCAATTATACTCTACATAATATTTTGAAGTTGGAACAGAGAAAAGAAGATTTAGGCAATAAATAGATGTACACTATGTGAGCTCGCCGTGTTCAACGACGATGAGAGACTTCGGGACAATGTTGAGGATTGCTTGGGTGACGTTGCATGAGAAATGCTAGACCAAACAACCGAATTTAGCATCCAAAAGTTGCGCGCTGGTCGAAAGTTGCGTGCGCGCTCGGAAAGTTGCGTGCGGGGATTAAATGTGCAGAACAACTGCCATATGATCGGGATTAGCGGAGCGCGAGTATTCGTGACGCTTCGTAAGAAGATTGACATTAGTATAATGATGTCAATGAGGGGGAAGAAAAGATCACGGAGGGAGAACGGAAAGCCGTAGAATGATATTAAGTATGGCGGTCCGTTTGGGTAAGTATTCCCTTAATGTACATGTTGGCGCGCAAAAGTCTATGTTGTGCGCAATTTTTTTTGTAATGTTGCGCAGAATTCAAGTCACCATTTGTAGTGTTGCGAAAATATTTATGTACTTGCGCAGAAATAAATTCAGTGCGCAGAAATGTTAGTTGTGCACAGAAAAGTTGACATGTGTGCGCAAAAATACATTTGATTGCGCATAAACTTTTACTACATGCACGGAAACTTATTGACGGATTTATGAGGTGCCCAGAAATATTATCAAGTGCCGCAAAAAATATTATTCGTGCGCGGAAATTACTGAGACCCTTGTGCGGATTTTTTGGCTTCCTACCTTTTTAAGTATGCCGTGGTGCCGTGATTAGGTAATTGATGTATTGTTGGCAGCCTCGGCACTGTAGGCGGAGTTTAAAATGTAACAATATATTATTGTCTCAATTTATTGGGGCCACCACGATATTGGATGAACATTATATTGGGTGGAAAAAGAATGTAGCATAGTTGGAATTACGATGTGATTAAAAATGAATGTAGGTCATGCTCGCCTCAATGGAAATGGTGACTATGGTGTGGTATCTACGCTCTAGGGACCCAAGGATTCTCCTCATTGTCAAAATTGAAGGACGAGTGAAAGAAATCCTGCATCACCTCGATGGATGAAATGGTGGGGGCCTTGGTGACAGGAATAGGGATCTTAGGTGCTGGGGCTGACGATTCACCATCTATAACAACAAATGTACAGTTAAATTGTGAATTTAAACACTGAAATTGAATTTCGTACCGGACATGCTTGAGATGCTGATTATATCCTGTTCTACCTCATCTTCACTCCTGACATGGCGAGGTCGCAAAGATCGTTGGGTGCAGGGTAAGGGGATGGCGCTGAGTGTAGGGCTGGGGGTGTCATTATCAGTGTCGTCGACATCTGAGTCTTTGTTAACGACAGGGTCCTGGGCCAATGAAATTCGTGGTTTCCACTCAAGGAGTGTTGCTGCAGGAACAGGATAACGAGTTACTAGCATAGGTAGAAAATTAGCATCCATGCTACTCAAAAAATATGATGAAATGAAGCTCACCCAGAAAGAGTGTCCGGTGGGAGACACCAACCTTGGTATTTGCAAGCTTACAAGCGTCAATAATGTCCATACCAGTGGGCAATCGGTCATCAGAATATACAGCGAGGTTCCTACGAGGAGGTTTCATGCAGATTAGCCAGGAAGAAGTAGTAGCGTCATCAGGTTCCGCTTTCCAGAGCCATGTGAATAGCTTAGGGAAAAGGGCCTGAAGCTTGGTGTCGAGAATTGGATAGGAGTCATCTGGGTGAAAATCGAAGCCAGAACTCTTCGTTACACACAGGCCCGATTGCTTCATTCCAGTCAGAGCGACTGAAGAGATGTCGACATCAGATTGCAGAGCATAGGCTGGAAGAAAAGATGTGGCATCGTCAAGTTTTGCTGCCTTATTCTACATAATCGGAATATATCAGAATAAAAATATGAGTGATAAAAAACAAAACACATACCGCCATAACACCAACAATAAGGAAAACAATCGTTCCTACAGAAAAGATCGTATCATCCTAAATAATGGGTAAGATCAGTGTTTAGCATTACATGAACAGACAAATTATACCACTTTGCCTGCTGCAGCTTTCGATGGACCACGAGACGATTTCGAGGAGCCTGACCGAAGACCCTGATTCGTCTCCTTGCGGGCAGCAGAGAGGCTTGAACTGTTGATCAAGGCAGCAAACCCAGCCAATCCCTTTGACGAGGAACCAGACTTGGAGGAACTTGCCACCTTGGCCAAAGCTGCCTGCTTCACACGTGCCGGAGAGGTCAGTCGAAGCCTTTTGGCCACCGGTTTGGTGTTATCGG